CGCACACGCGGCTGACACACTTTCGCGGCCGGGAGACACGTGCGCGAGCCCTTCGAAGGTAAACGAAGGGCTGGAAAGGTGCGGACAGGAAGGGAGAAAAGGAGAGAAACTTGTGCCTCACTCGGGTCAACACTCGTCTCCATGGAGACGAAAACGGGGCCCCTCTCGTCCTGTTTACGCCCCTGATCTTCCCCCTTCATTCAAGCGACGCTTCGAAAAGACAAGGTCGCGGAAAACACACGATCCCGAAAAAGGGGCTTCTTCCGTCAAAGAACGTCTCTGTTTCGCGCCCCCTTCAAGCGATGGCTAGATATATAGTAGAATATTTTATAAGTATTTATGTTAAAAGATAAAAATTATAAGTTTAGAATAGATTATGTAAATTTATTATCTATAAAATATTATTCATGTTATTTCAAATTAATCGATCGATCGATTATCTATGTGTTTATCTCTCTGCTATTTCCCTCGTTCTTTATTGTCCTCTTTTACATCATATCATCATGAAAATTCGTCAAAATCGAAAAGTTAGAGCTGCTGAAAAATATATAATTTTAAACAAAATAAGATAAAATTGATAACAATTCTCAACATTTCAACATGAAAATATATTATTTTCAACTCTTATATCATCGCGAAACGATAACGATGAATCTATTAATAACGTGCATAATAATTACGCGTATTCAATAGTAAGCATTTTCCTATATTTATCTCTCCATTACATAAACAAAGCCAATTTTTCTTTTTTCTTTTTCCCGATTTCGAGGAAATACGTTCGAAGATTTCTTCATTCCGCGAATGAAAAGAAAAAGGAAAAAAAAAAAAAGTATCGCCAGTATCTCGCCAAACGCCACGAGGATCTCTCCGCGGGGGTTGCAACAATGTTGAACGAAAAGCTCTCGATCGACGATTTATCCGATCGTCGTTGTTGCGCAACGAGAAAGCCGAGGACGGTCGCGTATCAAACGTTTTTAATCTGACCGTGGGGGCCTCGTGGCGGCGCATTCTTCTTCGACAGGGAAACTGAATATCGCGTGTGAGTCAGACGGCGATCCGATGAAATCACGTGAAGACGTTTCTGGATCGTATCAGTCCCCGACAACGATCACGAGCCATTTTTCTCGCGGCCGGAAAATAAATCAACGTGCAAGGTCTTTTGTTCTTCTTCTTCTTCTTCTTCTTCTTGTTATTGTTCTTGTTCTTGTTGTTGTCGTCTCTCATTGCGAAGAGAAATCGTGGGGGGAGAGGGGGAAGACTCGTCCCGACGAATCGACGAAAGTAAGAAAAATTCACTTCCTGCCGGATCGAGTCTCGCCAACTTCCTACTTCCATAATTAGCCACAACGTTTGAAGAACGAGATTTCTGATTCCGAAGCAGGAAGTAAACAGTATATACGATGCACTTTTTTTGCCTCTTAATAATAGACAGACAGCATTTTTTTCTTCTCTTTCTTTTTATTCCTTCGAAGAAGTTTTAATATCCAGATTCATTTTCTTAGTTTCGTTAATAAAAATAATAACATGTTTGCACTATTCATAATACCCTCAAAGACTCTTATTCATTTGCAAAACTTTTA